ACTTCGAAGTTTGATGCTGTCATCGAAGTGTGTGACTGTGTGCGCTGTTCGTTCATTCGTTCATTACTATTTCATCATCGCATCCACACACAACACATCTCCGTGCATAGATTTCACGTTTATCTCAATAAATATTTCCAATTGTTCACGACGCCATTTTCGCTTTGCTAAACACTTCTGAATCAACAGCGTCAGTCCAACACACAATTTGTGCTCGGAGTTTATTCGCCAAGTGTTGGTTCATGAATAAGTCATTTACACTTTGTTGGAATACAGCGTTTGATTTGTTGATAAATTTACCAACATAAGAAGTTTTACAAAAGGTGAGTTCTGGTGTCGAATTGGAATATTTCATCAGATTGTTTTATGAGTGGTTTCTAATAAAAAAAAACTATTCTGATTTCCAATTGACAGAACCAAAACTTCGTCACAATGAATGGTCATGGTGCAGAGCCGCCTAATAAGTACGAATCCAATGGTGTCGAGTTTCAAAATGAATCGATTTTGTGCGGAATGGAAATAAAGCAGGAGCCGACTTTCAAACAAGAGCCAGAAAATGACGACAGTATTGTTGCGGTATCGCGATCATCGCACACTGTCAACAGTGAGCTACTCGGTAATGCGATTGGCGAGGAGCAAGTAAATCGCACCGATGATTGCTTTGGTTTCGAAGATTTGGATGAAGTAAAATCGGATATAAAGGTTGAAAAAGTTAAGAAAGAGGCCAATCAAGTTGCTTCTAAGAGCTCTGAAAAGGATCAAATTCAACAACAAAATCCGATGAAACGTCTATCGAATGGTGGTGCTGAAAAAGTTGGCAAAAAAAACAAACAAAACGGTGCTCGTGACGAGAAGAAGCCACCTGAAGGCAAGGCAACTGGAAAGCGACACAAGTGTTCATTGTGCGAGTATGTCACTGATTTTGTCAGTCGTTTTAATCGGCACATGCTCAAGCATACTGGCGAACGACCATTTTCATGCCACGTGTGCCCGAAACGATTCATCCAGAAACATTGCCTACAATCGCACATGAAAGCACACGTCAATGAATTTCTGTTCAGTTGTTCAACTTGTTTGCAAGGATTTCATCGCAGTGACGAGAAGGTGGAACATGAATCTGGTTGTAAGGTGCGTCGCTACGAGTGTCATCTGTGCAAGGAATATTCTACTGTGTACAAGACGAATTTGAAAGATCATATGCGTGTGCATACCGGCGAGAGGCCATTCGAATGCGACCATTGCTCAATGAAATTCAATCATTCAAGTACTTTGAAATGTCACCTCAAAACCCACACCAATCCTCGTCCGTTGAAATTAAAGTGTTCAACTTGCTTCAAGATCTTTGCGCAACAAATGGAAAAGGAAAATCACGAAGCCAATTGCAAGCGACGCGGATACGAATGTGATCTATGCAAGACATACACAACTGATCAGAAGGAAAATTTGATGACACACATACGAATCCACACTGGCAAAAAGCCATTCCGATGTGAAACATGCTCGAAGTGCTTTGCGCGAAAATCAAATCTCAACAGACACCAGAAGATTCACAAGTAGCTCTCTGCTGCAATTAAAATTTAACACATCGAATGAAACAACTCGTGTTTAAACGAATTGCTTTGAATAAAAATAAACACAAGGATGTATTGAGCTTAAAATCTGGTCTTATTATTTAAAAATTGCGGATGGATTGTGTTAATTATGAAGCTGAAACCCAAATAAATATTTTCCTTTTTGTCAATAGCTGTCACCTACAGATAATGCTGGCCTGCGCGAAAATAACATTTGAATCTGTTGCACATTTCTGTTGTAATCATAGCTA